AGCGACTTTAAGAAGCACCACAAGGACTACGACCAACACCACAAGCACCACAAGTCCCACAAAGAAGGCCATCACAAAGGCGGAAAGCATCATGTGAGTAATTTATGTTATATTTACCTTAGCAGTGCTTATATCATGTTTATTTTCATGTTGATTTTATACATCTAGAATTAATTTAAAAATTAGCTCTATTTTGCTTAGATTAAATGCGGGAAAATAAGTATCGATTAAATTTTAAAATCAAAACATATTCGAAATACAATTGTAAAGTCAGTGCACTAAAAATTAAGTTATTATTTTTTCTGAAATCTCCAAAAAAATTTCAAGCGTCAAGATTCCCACAATAATGGAACTAATTATGTACATGCATTGAAAAAATTCTTATAATACCAAACTAAATATAAGTATTTTTTGCACAGTCTCACAAGCATCACGACAAGCACGGCAAGAAAGGCCATCATAAGAAGGGTCACCATCACCACCACGACAAGGGGCACAAGAAGCACTATGGTGATGAGGGTCACCACAAACATCACAAGGCCTACGGTCACAAGAAAGGTCATCACGATCACCACGAGAGTCATGACGATCATCATTAGTGTGACGATTTTTTACATGTTTTCTGCGAGCTCTTTTATTTCGTCGCTTATTCATCTCTTTACCGCTTTTTTCCTTGTTCGTAAAAATTTAATTCGTGGAAAACTTTCGATGAAAATCAAAATAAAGCAGGTTGGAATAATTGTGGCTACGAGTGCAGAATTTTACGACAAAATTTTCGAAACGCCAAAAATTTCAAGAATCGAACAACCTGCAGCATTTACGACACTTAGCAGGTCACAAAAAATATTTATCTTTTGCTGTGATCGTTGCCAGAAATATCTCCCCATGAATGAAAAGAGCGTACGAAGAAATATGAAAAGCTTGAAGGAATTTAGTTGTTTCAGCGAAATTTGTAAATGTTCCTTCCGTGTGCAGTTTGTGTTGAGTTGTTGACTATGTAGCTGTTGCTGCTCTGACTTCGATGCAATATTGTTTCTGTTATTATTTTTATTGTATCAAATGTATGATAAAAATGTAAAAAATATATAAAAGACATTGAATACCAAACTGTTTATATTGTATTCCTTTTTTGTGGGCCAAATTGTCAATGAAAAAAATTAATGCTGTATGAATTTCAAAATTCAAGCTCAATTTTTGTAAATTATACATCCTGCTTATTTGATTGTGAAATTTTAATCACGAAGCCAGACAACGTTTTAAAACCCATAAATTCTTTTTTAACTTCGTATTAATTTGAAACTATGACCAAGTATCAATTCATAAAATTGTAAACTTACACATTTCTCCGGAAAATAAAAAAACTGAAGTTTTCAATAGGCCAAAACGATTTTGTACTAAATGGAAGGAATTTTTAACTATTAGCATTCAAAACCTATATAAATATATACTTTAATATTTCAAATCAACATTTTTCGAAAAAACGTAGCTCTTCTGTTTAGATCTCTACGCTTCTGTCAGACGTTTTCTTCATGCGTTCAGTAGTTCGGATGTTCACAAGTTCAGGCGCTAATGACCTAATAATTCATCCATAAGAGATAACTCATATGAAAATTCATTTGATAAAATTAATGCGTTTCAAGGATCAGTAACTTGATATAAATTATAATTATTGTAACATTTTTATAGAAATCGAGAGGCTCGAGGAGACCATTAGTATAATTGCAGCGAGATTTTTAACGGATCTGCCCCCCTAAATTACTCAGAAGTTATTAATTCGATGAAAATGTCATTAGTGAAATTTATTCGCCATTTTAATTTGAAATTTGAGTTATATAAGGATTAATTTTAAACTTTTTAGTCTGATCAATTATTTGAACTACGTCGGTCAGTAAAAAAGAATTTTCAACATGAAAATGATACAAGAAGATGTGGGACAATGAATACATTTACTGCCCCAAACAGAGACAATGAGGCAATAATACGTGCAAATATGCATCGTGTCACGAAAAAACACATCGTCTCGCGAATAAATTTATTCATATTTTGATTTCCAGGATGCGTTTATGGTGATATTTAAACATTAATCAATGGTATCTTTTTGAAGATCTCGAGACATTGACATCAAATTTGGAAAATTCATATGCTCTTCCTCCTCAAATTTTGCTGGGAAATTCATTATACTTGAATGGCGACGAAAGTTCGGCATTATCGATAGTCAGTTTGAATTAGGAAGAAAAATTATATTCAGTAAAAAAATTTAATTTTCAAAGATTTTTATTTAGAATAACTGAGATGCAGACACCATTAGGTTCGATGGATATTAAATAACCAGAATGTAAAAATCTTTCTGTTCCAGTATTGGCTTAACCATACAAATGGTTTAAAAGTTTAAGCGCTAAATTTCGAATAATTCATGCACATTAATTAACCAAATCGTGATAAAGGTCAAGTAATTTTCCGGCAATGTGACGATGCAAGATAAATATAAAGCCCTAGCGAAAATATCTTGCAATATCCATGCAATTATGCAAGATAACTATACAGTCCTGCGAAAATATCTTGCAATATGCAGAGGATGAAGCATTATAACTATATAGTCCAGGTGAAAATATCTTGCAATATGCAGAGGATGAAGCATTATAACTATATAGTCCAGGTGAAAATATCTTGCAATATCTTAAGGCGACGATGCAAGATAAATAAATATATAGTTACATCAAAAGCAATAACTGAACAAATTTTGGAAGTCATCTATGATGATTTGTCTTAGGTTACGTTTGGTTTAATAGTAGAGACAACCCATCATTTAGAGTATGCGTATTGAGCGCATTTCATGCATAAGTAATTTTTTCATTTATTGCGACACATGCGATTTTCCCATCCAGAAAAAGCTGAAAAATCAAACTTCAACAAAAAAATCAATTGCTTTCGCCATAATCAGAGCAGCAATAAAAGTGAAGGTAATTATAATTTCACTTTCTGCATCCACAAATACTCTGAGAGGCAATATTTGTGAAGTTGATATTTAAATATTTTATGAAGTAGTTGACGAATTACTTTTCAATAATTCAATAAGCAGAACGGCAATAAATGTCGAGGTAATGTCACGTCAATTATAATAAAGTTTCAGAAGGAAAGTCTCTACTTTGTTGCTTAGCCTATTGGTTAGTGAGTAAACTATTTGATAATTTTACCTCAGTATAATGTATAAATGTGGCTACCCTAAGTATCCTCACATTTCAGTTTACTTAATCTCTTTTCTCACTGCGTTGGGATAGGATATGAGAGCAGATTTTTCTGGATAGCAACGAATTTTGCCGGAAAGGAATAAGACAAAAAAAAAACGTTTGCAGAATTTTCGATGTTCTCTTGTCATGTATTTTTTATGTGCTCCTGTGTGAATAAAGAGTAAAGAATACATAGACCTCTTTATTTTACACCACATGATCTAACTGGGACTTCATCTTGCGAGGACACTTGATGTAATGTATTGATTCAGCCCAATAATTTATGTTAACTCATAAACTGTAGCCATTTGAATCAAACTTTTATGTTGTTTTGGGTCATAATGCGACACTGTTACATCATGATTTGTCTCGTAGTAGTTTTATTCTAAAACCATTGCCGAGATTAATTCATTTTTGTAAGGTTTGACACTAAATATTGATTTTATTAATCTTAGATTATTTTTCTACTAGATCGATAATTTTTATCACAGAAAATAATTTGCCTGAGATAACGCAAATTAGTCATTTCTGACCTAAGTGAACAATTGGGTCAGCTTGGTGCACACTTCTAAGTAAGCATGAATGCGAAATTATAAAAATTCCAGTCATAGAAACTCAGAACAACTGACCGTTAACAATAATATTTTGTTGTAGATTTATCAAAGCAAAGCCGTGATGATTTTCTAATTCGTGTTGGCTCTGACCAATTTCTATCATTACGACGTAAAACGATATCTTTAAACGTCATAATTCCTACTTTCATGGATATGATGACAGTAGTTACTGTCGCCGTTAGTAAGGAAGTAAATGCAACCAATTCAATTTCTCAGTTACCAAATAGGAAATTTGAGCGCCGGCGTTTGCATGACGAAAGGACGAAGAAGTGACCCGCGACGTCGTCTATAAAAGGCAGTGTTGACGGGAAGTCATCAGTCTTGTGGCTGCCTTCAGCCCGACAACATCATCGCCTTGGCAGCATGAGGGCCATCATGAGGGTAAGTAATTAAAAGAAAATTCCCTTTGTGCCTACAGCAGATTGGTTTCCTTGCGAACCTTGAATTTCAAAGATCATTTTATGAAAATGCGTTCAAATTCAAAAATTCCCTTGAATCCACGTTCTACATAAATTTAATTCTATAAAAGGTAAAACTCATAGCATTAAACATTATGTGCATATAAAGACAAAATTTTCAGAGCAGCGACAAAAAAATTGCTCCCATATTACAGACGGCAGTGTTGGTGGCGCTGGCAGCGGCTCTGGTGAACCAGAGCACGGCCGGCACGGCAGGCAAGGAGGCCGACGAGGAGCTCCGAGCCTACAGCCCGCGCCTGGTCGGCGCTGATCTGCTCCCAGCCGGCGCTGATCTGCTCCCAGCCAAAGCATATCGGTTCTCTGCCGACGCTGATCTGCTCTCTGCCGGCGCCCAGCAGGTGTCCCATGTTGCAGCCTACCCGCTACTCACCGCAGCGGGTGAGTCACGTCATCTGTCATGCTATTTATTTAAACTTGATGTCCATTATTTGCTCACAAGTGGCAAGGCTGTTTAAATATTTCTATAAAACTTTGAAATGTGTAAAAAAATTTTTGGGAGGGTTCAGAAATTTGATTGTATGCATAGTATAAATATAAATTGATAAATGACTGCTGTTAGTTTCAACGGCTCATGAGGTTATTTGTGATACGATTTGAGATAAAAAATTCGTCATACATTTTATTTGAGATAAAATTTATCGTCATACATGTTGTGGCTGCAAGCAAGATTAATAAGTATTTGAAAAATATTTAGGAGGTCATGGTCACGGTCACCACGGCCATCATCACAAAAGCCATCATAAAAAGCACGGCCACAAAGGCCATAAAGGCCACCACGCCAAACACGGCCACAAGAAACACCATAAAGGAGACTTCAGCAAAAGCCACAAGAAGGTGGGTGAAGAATCAATTTCGATTTCGTTCAGATTATTTTATCCAATTAATATCTATTTATATCGATTTCTGTTGAGAATCAATTGACTTGATGAATTGAATTGGGCTAAAAGAACATGTTAAAATAGCTATCATAGACATGTCATTCAGTAATTATTATTCCAATCGCTATTTTTAACTTTACTTTAAAGTTCAAATCCGGTCTGTTAGGGCAAATAAATAAATAAAAGACCCTTATTCAGTATTTTAAGATATATTAATATCATGATTATAACGATAATTTCGAGATAATACCGGAAGACGCTCGAAGGAAAATTTAAGATTCAAATTGTGCTCTTGTCAATCTTTTATGGAATTATACAACTTAATTTATTATTAATTTTTTAACTGTGACACCTACAATTTTTCTTTCGCGCCCTCCACCGTGCACATTTAATTTTGGTAAATTGAGCGATTGTGCGAGTCAAAATTAAACCATTATAAATAATATTAATGAAATTCGACAGCACATCAATGATTGAGAGGTTTTCTTTTAAATAATATGTATTGTAAATTTGTTCATGCTTAAGTAAAATTTTTTTTGGCCGGAGATAAAAATTAAAATTTTACACTTTACTAAACGGTTAGATTCAGTGAAATTAGAGTTGACGCAACGTATGATAAAAGTGTAAAAATAGTATTCCATAATATGAACTTGCTCCTAAAATTTTCGATTGTCATAAGATTGTAAATATTCAGTTTTTATTCACTAATTTCCTAATAAAAATCAATAAAAAAATTTGCTGCATGTATTTGAAACGTTATTAGTACCTGTTCTTTATTTTATCTACTATGCAATAATCATTTATAATTCATCCAAAAGGGCCACTTCGACAAAGGTGGTAAGCACCACAAAGGCCATCACCACAAAGAACATCATCACGGCCATCACAAACATGGCAAGAAAGGCAAGAAAGGACACAAGCATGGCAAGAAAGGCCACCATAAGAAGGGACACAAGAATAAGGTAACTATCGAAAATAATAGTTCTAACGGCCTTTCTATTCAATCAACTTTGAAACTATTCGATCAACATTTATACTTGAAATTCGATGGCAGAAAATTATAAAACTCGAATGAAATCGAATAAAAAATTTTGAAGTTTTCGTAATAGAATTCTGAATCGATGAGATCTATGCAAAAATTAATTTGCAAAGTAACTGCTTTGTACTTTATACTCAAATAAAAAAATGATTATAATAATA